CCAAGGCGGGCAACATCTGCCGGGGGATGATGGCACCAGAGAACAGACACTTTGTACACTTTCCATTGCGCTCCTGTATTCCTGTACTCGAGTACATGTGCTAAAAAAAAATCGAAATCCAAACCTGATGTATTTTTTTGGAACAAAATCTGCCATCCTTATCTGGTCTGACCTAAACGTGACTCCAGACCCACGGCAACGTAGTTGACTCTCAACTGCCCTCTGGAATTTCAGGGCCAGTCCTAGGCTCGAGGGTAATTAGGGATGGACAACAAATGCTGGCCTTGCCACTTTCCCCAGGGCCCATAAAAGGAAAAAGGAAAAACAACTCACCCATTCCATCAGTCACTCCCGCGTCCTTCCCCCACTCCCATACCTGTCCCCTCGCCCCCTGTCTCTCACACTCTCTCTCTCTCTGTCTCTCCCGCTTTCTGCCTCTCACAGTCTGAGTCTCCCCGGGATCCCAGTCTGAGTCCTGTTTTGCTTTTTGTACTGAGACAAGCACTGTTTATGTCAAGGGGTAGCTGTTGGTGGGTGATTAATGTGTATGTGAAAAGGGCAGAGGCTGGTCAAGTTTATTCAACCTGTCTTTTGGGTGACAGGAGAAGCATGTAATCGTTGTTTAAGAGTTAATTCCCCTGATGACAGCCTGCAACCTGTCTCTTTGCTGTCTGCCTGTTTTCACTGGCTCTTCTCCTCCCTTATATATCATACACAGATAAATTATTGATGTTACAGATCTGTGCAAAGGAGAAACAATATTTTTGTTAAAGCAATGCTGTCATTTGGACTAAGTATTTTTAGGTCAAAGGACCATTAACCTACTATCACTATATCCTGCCCATGAACCAGCTCACCATTCGGGATCAACATTGGAGCGTTTCAATTTGATTGAGGGCTTTCTGAATTCATGAAACTGATTCCACGGCCCCCCCACCCCCACCCCATTCCCCACTTCTGGCATCCACTACTTTCCTGTCCCTGACCAATCCTGTTTCCTTCAGCACCTCCCCCACACTTCCTCTTCCCCTCCCCAACCCTATTCCTACCCCTCACCCTCCCCAAATCTGCCCCCACTCAACTTCTACCTCTCTCACTTAGGGGCAGGCCTAGTGGTATCATGACTCAACTATTAATCTAGAAACTGAGGATAATGTTCTGGGCAGCTAGCTTCAAATCTTGCCAGAGTGGAATTTAAGTTTAATCAAAGTCTGGCATAAGGAGTCTAGTGTCAGTAAAATACTCACCTGGTTCACTAATGTCCTCACCTGGTCTGGCCTACATGTAACTCCAGACCCACCGCAATGTGGTTGACTTTTAACCGCCCTCTGGGCAATTAGGGATGGACAATAATTACTGGCCTGGCCAGCAATTTCCTGTGAATGAGTTAAAAAAAAATTCTGTCAAACTCCTCCTCTATGATCCTCTTGCCCTTGGCAAATGGAGCTTAATTTGGATAAATGCGAGGTTTTGCATTTTGATAAAACGGACAAGGGCAGGGCTTATACAATTAAAATTAGGGCCATGAGTAGTGTTGCAGAACAGACAGACCTAGGGGTTCAGCTACATAATTCTTTGAAGTTTGTGTCACATGTAGACAGGGAGGTTAAGAAGGTGTTTAGCACACTTGCCTTCATTTCCCAGACCTTTGAGTATAGGAGTTCGGATGTCATGTTGAGGTTGTACAGAACATTGGTGAGGCCTCTTCTGGAATACTGTGTCCAGTTCTGGTTGCCCTGTTATAGGAAGATATATATTAAACTGGAGAAGATTAAGAAAGTATTTACCAGGATGTTGCTGGGAATGGAGGGTTTGAGTTATAAGGAGAGGCTGGATAGGTAGGGATATTTTTTCACTGGAGCATAGGAGGTTGAGAGGTGACCTGATAGAGGTTTATAAAATCATGAGGAGTATAGATAAGGTGAATGGCAGGTGTCTTTTCCTTAGAGTAGGGGAACTCAAGACTAGGGGACATATTTTTAAGGTGAGAGCAGAAAGATTTAAAAAAGACATGAAGGGCAATTTTTTTGCACAGAGGGTGGTTCATGCGCGGAAAGAACTTCCAGATGAAGTGTTGGATGTGGATAGTTACAACATTTAAAAGACATTTGGATAAGAATGTGAATAAGAAATGTTTGGAAGGATATGGGCCAGGAGCAGGCAAGTGGGACTAGTTTAGTTTGGGATTATGGTTGGCATGAACTGGTTGTACAGAGGGGTCTGTTTCCATGTTGTATGACTGTATGACTATGTGACCCACCCTAAAACTTATCTCACTTCCACTCGCAAATGCTTATCCCCTTTTTTGTTGCCCCTCTTCCCACTCACATGCACCCCCCCGCCTCACTCTAGCCCACCCTCTGCCGTTCTCCTCGCTTTTCCTGCACTTGCCTCCAGATTTCGGAGTCCCCTGTGGGGCTGCTGTAACGTACTGGACGGTGTTTAGAGTGTCTTGTGCCCTTCACGCTTTAAGGCTGAATGGGGTTGTCCGGGGAAACCTGAGACAAACACATTTTTTTTGCCTTTTCTTTCACGTTTCGATACCCCTGGCTGCCCATTCACTTGGTGACCTGCTCTGAGACCCCACCTCCCCAACTCACTCCCCCCTCCCCACCCCAGCAGTTGGAGACCTGGTCTCCTGCAGCTAATTCAGCACATTGGACAAACCTGACCTCTGCGCACCAGAGGCTTCAATAAGTAATGTCCCCTTTGAATTCCTTCCGCCTGCCCATGTGCTCCGACAATGCAAAACAAAACTCCACCGCGTAAATGGTCAGAGAGAATCACCAATCACATGGTGGTCACTTGTTACTCACCCCACTGACTCTACTGCAGGGGATCGGAATTTAACAGAAAATTCCTGGTAACATGCAGGGGCACGGAAATAGCAGAAAAGCATGGATTAGACCTGCCCATGTTCATTGTGGGCTTTAGGTTAACCTGCTTTAACAGTCAGTAGGGAGGGTGGGAAATGGAGTCACAGATTCAAAAACCTTCTTTATCTTGCCTTTTCCAGCAACTTTGTTTTTGTTCCTGATTTACGGCATCCGCAGTTCTTTTGGCTTTTCTTTATCTTGTGCTCTTTGTCCGACTGACACTGCCATCATCTTCAATCATGGCTAGGTCAAGGAGACAAGTCCTGAGTCCAGGCTTCCCCATCCCACCAGCACCACCACCCCCAACCCTTCCCAGTCCGAACGAGCAGTGAACCCTGCTCTTGCTACCGGGAGCTGTTAGGGCTGAGTCCTGGGGTATATTAGGGCTGAGATAGATAGATTCCTGACTAGTCGGGGAATCAAAGGCTCTGGGAAAAGGCCAGGAAAGTGGACTTGTGGAATGTCAGATCAGCCATGATCCTATTGAATGGTGGAGCAGGTTTGAAGGGCCGAGTGGCCGACTCCCATTCCTATTTCTTGTGTCACAGACGAGATGAGGTCTAACAAGTCTCTTATTCAAGGTCAGCATCATTTCCTTGCTCTTGTCCTCTATGCCTCTATTTAATATACCCAGGATACTGTTTGTTTTATTTATTGCTTGCTCCACTTGTCTTGCCTCTTTTAGAACATGGAACAGCATAGCACTGGAACGGGCCCTTTGGCCCATGATGCTGTGCTGAACATTACCCTTCTACCTGCCTTTGGTCCATATCCCTCTTTTAATGACTTATGCACGTATACATCCAGTCCCTGTTATTTCTTAGGGTCTTACAGTATGTTGGCATTTAGCCTTTCCTCCCTCACCATCCCCCACGTAGTCTTGGAATACTCCCCATTTGCTGAATGGTGTAGCAGGCCTGAGGGGCCAAATGGTCTGTTCCTGATTCGTATGTTTCAGCATCTGTACGTGACAGGATAACTACAGGAAGGGCGGATTTTCTTTGCAAGCCAATGCAGAAAGGACAGAGGAATGGGATTGTTTGGATAGCTGCTTCAAAGAACTAGCAGAAGCTCAATGGGTCGAAAGGGCTTCATTCTCTGCAGTACAATTCATTCCCTGGTGATCACAACAAGCTTCACAAAGTCTTTAGGAAGCAATGTGACAGCTGAATGAACAGTGCCTTTCAGGAAACTGTTTGCCCTCTCAGTGGGGTAGGAGAAATTTGTCTGAGGGAATGCAGTAATTACCTGAGGTTCCTGCTCCCACACTCTGTCCAGTGTTCTCACTCGGAATGTGGATGTTTTTGGGCTCTGATCCCCCCCGGTATTGATTAATCTGTGGACCCTTGGGGTAGGAACCCTATGGTACACTGCTACATGAGGTAGGATTTCTCAAATAAAATTCAGGTTTACCTCAAATAAAAATTAGAGATTGCTTTTAGCTTCAAATGGGTGAATGGCTAAGACATTGCTTGATGATGGAGTGAGCAGTTTGCAGACATCATGTTTATTTGAAATGATAACCTTTCTCTCTGTTGATTTACTGATTATTAAGTGTTTTCAAAGGATTACTTTACCTGTCACTGTTCACACAGCAAGCTAGCCAAATGTCTTATTCATGGACTCTCCTCACATCTTGTGTATGAGCGAAGATCTTCCCCTTGCCCTTTCCATCCTTTCCCTCCATCTCCCCTAATTTCCTGTTCATTGGTTCTTTCTCCCATCCACAATTACCTTCCTTCTTGCCCCACATCTTTCTTACTCCCTCATCCACTCCTCTTCCTTTCTTTCCTCTCTTTTGCCCCTCTCCACCCTAACAGCCTTCCCTTCCTCTTTCTTCCCCCTCCTGCTCTCCGACTTACCCATCTCCCTTCCTGCCCTCATTCCTGTCTTCTTCCCACATGCCTTTCTCCCCTTCACTGCCTCTCCTGCCCGTCCTAAGCTCCACAATTCCATCCCCTCTCCTTTCAACTCTCTCTACAGTTCCCCTTCTCCATCCACCTCCCGCCTCCCCCCTCTTTTCCCACCCTGTCCCTCTTCCCATCTCCCTCCCATGACGGCCCTTACAACCAAGCTCTTGGAAGGTGAAGCATGTTGTGTGACCTGTACCTTGTCTTTTCCCAGGCAATAGAATGGGGACCAGAAGAAGACACCAGGATAGCCTGTCAGAGCAAAGGGAAGACTGAGGTAAACTATCATCACGATGCAGTTACTGTGTAATTTAATCATGAGAGCCCCACGGTACTATTGCCAGAGTTGATCCTTTTTCGGTTTCTCTCAGTATTTGCAAAACACTGGCTTAATCTGGCCTTTTTAGGGTGGTTTCGCTTGAACTGAATTTAAGTCTTTGAGAAATGCTTTTCATAAAGAAACAGGAGAGGTGATGGCCTAGTGGTATTATCGCTGCACTGTTAATCTAGAGACCCAGATAACGTTCTGGGGACTTGGGTTCAAATCCTGCAGATGGTGGAATTTGAACTCAGTAAAATATCTGGAATTAGGAATCTAATGACGATCATGAATCCATTGTTGATTGTTGGAAAAATCCATCTGGTTCACTAATGTCTTTTAGGGAAGGAAACTGCCATCCTTACCTGGTCTGGCCTACATGTGACTCCAGACCCACAGCAATGTGGTTGATTCTGAACTGCCCTCTGGGCAATTAGGGATGGACAATAAATGCTGCCTGGCCAGAGACACCCTCATCCTGTGAATGAATAAAGGAAAAGAAAACCCTATTTGTTTTGCTGTGCACTTGGGCATAAGTACCAGTTTGGAGACTGTTCACAGAATGGTTATGGTGCAGAAACAGGCCATTCAGTCCATCGTACTTGCACCAGTTCTATTGGCTATTGTCAATCACCAGCCTTTTCCCCATTTCCGTTGCATTCCATTTCTATCCAACTCATCATCCATTGCCCCTCTTGAAAGCCTGTATTCAACCTCCACATTTCCAGGCAGTGCATTCCAGCTCCTAACAACTTACTCAATGAAAAATTCTTTTCCTACATCATCATTTCCTGCTTCATTTGCATGTCACTTTATATTTGCATGGTCAATAAAGGTGGGTAAATTACAATGTAATTTATCCAATGAGTATGATAAGTGGGTCCCACAGTGCAGGGTACAAGCTGGGCAGACATGAGACATGCTCTTCAGCCCATTTGATCTCATCTGCCTAAATACTAGCCCATCCACTTTCCTGTGGCATCTTAAATGGCCTCAGCTATACCCGTTCTGACCTTATTGGTCATCCCTCATTTCTGTCCATGAGTCAACCAGGAGTCATAAAGTTTGGGGTACAAGTTCCATTTTGTAATCTTGAGCACTGAAGTCTAGGCTAAAACTATGCCAGTGTAGAACAGAGAGAGTGCTGCACTGTCAGCGGTACTGTCTTTCAGATTAAATACTCATCCAAATACCCATCAGTCCTGTCAGGGTGGATATAAAATGCCCCATGGCCACTATTTCAAAGAAGAACTGCCACTCTCACATATCAACCTTAAAAGCAGATAACATGGTCATTATCACATTGCTGACAGTGGGAGCTTACTGTACACAAATTGACTGCATTATAACAGCAACTACAATTCAAGTGGAATAGAGACAGAGGGTGCTGGAGAAACTCAGCGGGTCTGGCAGCATCTGTGCAGAGTCAAACAGAGTTAATGTTTCTGAGTGTTTGGAACTCCTCCACTTTCACTGTATTTGATTAACTGCAAGATCATCAAGGGTAGCCTGACACCGTGCAAGATGTGCTCTAAATGCACATTCAGCGTCCAACACAGCTCTCATACCACTTGTCTCTTGTTCCAGGTCGAGTGTCAGAATTATATTCGTGTGCTGCTTATTAACGGAAAGAATGTTTTTGCGTGTGGAACAAATGCATTTTCTCCGACCTGCACTTCCCGACAGGTAAAAAAAGCCCTGCCGACTTTCCTTTATGCCACTTGAAACAAAATGCTCCTCTGATGTTCTAATGACCAATTCAGAAATGTTATTTGCTGACTGTTTTTTTCTGCTTTCCTCTTCCTCTTTCTTTATTGGTCAGCGCATTGGGAGGTCATGTTGCAGCTGTACAGGGCATTGGTTAGGTCACTTTTGGAATACAGTGTTCAATTCTGGTCTGCCTGCTACTGGAAAGATGTCTTGAAACTTGAAAGGGTTCAGAAAATATTTACAAGGATGTTGTCAGGGTTGGAGGGTTTGAGCTATAGGGAGATGCTGAATAGGCTGGGACTATTTTCCCTGGAGCATTGGAGGCTGAGTCCAAAACTAGAGGGCATAGGTTTAAGGTGAGAGGGGAAAGATTTAAAAGGGACCAAAGGGGCGGCTTTTTCATGCAGAGGGTGGTTGGTGTATGGAATGAGCTGCCAGAGGAAGTGGTGGAGTCTGGTACAATTACAACATTTAAAAGGCATCTGGGTGGGTATATGAATAGGAAGGGTTTAGAGGGACATGGGTCTAGATTAATTTAGGATACCTGGTCAGCATGGATAAGTTGGACTTGTAGGGTCCCTACAGTGTGGAAGCAGGCCAATCAGCCCATCGAGTCACACAAACCCTGTGAAGAGCATCCAACCCAGACCCATACCCCTACTGTATCATCCTGTGTTTCCTATGGCTTACCCACCGAACCTATACATCTTTGGACTGTTGGAGGAAACCCATGCAGACACAGGGAGAATGTGCAAACTCCACACAGTCCCCCAAGGTTGGGATAAAACCCAGGTACCTAGCACTGTGAGGCAGCAGTGCTAGCCACTGAGCCACTGTGCCATGTTGTGGGGTCTGTTTCCATGCTGTACATCTCTATGTCTTTGTGGCTCTCTGACTCTGAGAGACATGACCCCTCACTAGGGCACATAGTTCTATGGGCTTGCCTGACCAACCAGTGGTTTTTAATGTCCACTGGCCATGTGTTGGCTGGTGACAGGCTCAATCCAAGCTGGGCACATACTGCATAAAGTCGTGTGTAGGAATACCCCACAAGGGGCACTTTTCCTCAAGGTGGATAACCTCATATTTCTCCACACTGTTCTATCAGCCAAATCTTTTTGTCTACTCAGCCTTTCCAAATCATCCTGAAGCATCCTCCTCACAGCTTCCACTTCCACCTGGTCTTGTGTCACCTGCAGAGCGGTAAAGGTTACATTTGATTCCCTCACTGAAATCAGTGATAAACACTGTGAACGGCTAGGAGCCAAGCACTGATTCTTACAGTATCCCCCACTCACAGCCTGTCCACTGAGAATGACACATTCTTTGTTTTCTGCCTATTAACCGGTTCTCACTCCATGCCAGTGTATTGGCCCCAATCCCATGTCATGGAGTCATAGAGTAATACAGCATGGAAACAGGCCCTTTGGCCCAAACTGTCCATGCTGACCATGGTGCCCACTCAGGTAGTTTCAACTGCCCACATTTGGTCCATATCCCTCTAAACCTTTCCCATCCATGTACCTATCTAAATGTTTTTTAAATGTTGCCATTGTACATGCCTCAACCACTTTCTCTGGCAGCCCATTCCATATACGCACCACTCTCTGTGTGAAGAAGTTGCCCCTCAGGTCCTCCTTAAATCTATCCCCTCTCACTTTAAACCTATGCCCTCTACTTTTCAATTCCCCATCCCTGGGAAAAAAGACTATATGCCTTCATCCTATCTCTGCCCCTCACGATTTTATACCCGTCCTTCTCAATAGCTTTCTGAAATAGTAGCATAGCAGTAATGTCACTGGGCTAGAATACAGAACCTCAAGGTAATACTTTGGTTCAAATCCCACAACAAAGCTGGTTGGATTTAAATGCATAGCACTAGGAACAGGAGTAGGCCATTCAATGAGATTGTGGCTGATTTGTGGACTAATGCCTTTGGCACATAGCCCTTAATAATGCCCCACTTGATTCCTTGGATATGAAATACTGGTAAGTATAGCCTGCCCTGGCTCAAAGAGGGATGCAGCTAATACATTGGATTTAGGCAGAAATGTGAGTTTTGGGCCAGAGAAACAGGGATGTCTCATACACTGGTTCAACTTATTTATCACGCCTCGTGGTAACTCTTCAAGATATTGATAGGACAAGACAGGGTAGATGAAGATAAACTTTGGTTGGGGATTCTAGAACTAGTGGGGTACAGAGTCTAAAAATTAGGAAAATCATGTGCAGCCCAGACTGGGTAAGGACTACTGTCCCAGTGGGTCAGGAGATATGTGCATGTTAACAGAATAAAGTGATGCAGCCCTGACTACTCAGTGTAGCTTTCCTGCACTTTGATGAAGCTGCGTTGAACAAATGGATTCTCCGGGGCAGGGTGTTTCTTTTGTTTGGTATTCCTGCCCTTGGGCTCAATATAATTCCTCTGCACTACTGACACCTTTTAGTATAGAGTGTAATGCATACAGGATACCTTGAATTGGTTTGATTTATTGTTGTCATATGTACCTAGGTACAGTGATAAGTTTCATTCTGCGTGCAGTACAGGCAGATCTCACCATACACCATACATCTCACCAGGGTAATAGAACAGACCGAGGAGTACAATGTTACAATGTAGAGAAGGTGCACAAAGAGCGAGATCAACATTAAATTTAAAATTTGAGAGGCCCATTCAGAAATCTACTAACGGCGGGGAAGAAGCCATTCTTGAACCTGTTGGTATGTGTGTTTAAACTTTTGTATCTTCTGCCGATGGAAGAGGTTGGAAGAGATTATAACCGGGGTGGGAGGGTCTTTGATGATGTTGGCTGTCTTTCCGAGGCAGCGAGAAGCACAGATGGAGTCAATGGATGGAAGGTTGGTTTGCATGATGCAGTGACTTGTCAAGATTAATTCAACAGAACCTTCCTCAGCCTGTGACCCGTACTGTCAAGAAAGACAAGAAGACACTATCGGCGGGGGGAGCATCATCAGCTCCAAGCTGTATTCTTGATCCTTTACAGTCATTGAGTCACTTAGTGATATTGATTCCTTCAGGTCATTGAATCAATATCACCAAATCCCTTATTATGAGAGGGCCACCATCATTAGGCTGAACCAGCTCAAGAGTGTGTCACCACTAGTTTCTCAGGGGGGCAGCCAGAAGTGGAACATAAATGTAATCTTGCCAGCTTTTCCCGCACATTAACAAATTCAGAACCAGGTGGGGCGATTTTTCCGTTTTGCTTTTCATATATCTGATGGGTTTTTACAGACAGAATTAAATAACTCAACCATGCGTGTTCCGCTTGATTCTCAGGCAGTTTATTAAAATGAAAGAGGAGCCAAATTTCTAGGAATTATCAGCAACACTGGCCAATTTACAAATCACAGCACAGCCCATTTAATCATTCATTCAGTGATTCAATTAAGAGGAAAATCTCAGCACTGCAGAAAATACTGTATTCTCTCGTTGACGTGATTAGACTAATGTAGGGTGATGCTGTCGCCAGGTGACATTTGGCAGTGGGTTGATCATAGTTTATGTCATAATGCTTAAGGAAGAAGGAACATGTTATGCCTGAATCAGGATCTTATGTTCTAAGTGCTCTGTGTAGATGAGAAATTCACTGCATCGCAGACAAAATGTGAGTGAGTTTGACTGTGTCATAGAATCATGCAGCATGGAAACAGGCCCTTCGGCCCACAATATCTATGCTGACCGGCAAACACCAAATGCCACTATCTCATTTACCTGCACTTGGTCCATAGCCTGCAATGTGCGAACATTTTAAGTGCTTGTACAGATGTTTCTTACATGTTGTGAGTGTACCTGCCTCAAACACCTTCTCGGGCAACATATTCCATAGTCCTACCACCATCTGGGTGAAAAAATATTTCCTCAGATCCCCTCTAAGCCACTTACTCCTCACCTTAAACTTCTGTCCTGTGTTCTTAGACATGTCAGCTATGGGGAAAGGATCTGTTTATCTACTCTGTTTATGCCCCTCTGTTTTATATATCTCAATCAGATCCTCCCTCAGCCAAGTTTGCTCCAGGGAAAACAAACCTAGCCTATCCAGTCTCTCCATATAATTGAAACTTGCCCTCCCAGGTAACATCCTGGTGAATCTCCTCTGCACTCTCTCCAGCACAATCAGGCCCTTCTGTTAGTGTGGCAACCAGAACTGTACACAGTATTCCATCCATGGCCCAACCAATATTTTATAAAGTTGTAAAAAGACTTCCTTGCTTCTATATTCTACACCACGGCTAATGAAGGCAAGCCTCCTCCTTCATCACCCTGTCTACCTGTGCTGATACCTTGAGGGATCTATGGACTTATACACCAAGGTCCCTTTGTTCCTCAGCGGTGTTTAGTGACCTTCCCTTATTAGAAGTCTACAGCAAAGAAAAAAAAAACCCTTCAGCCCATCAAGTCAAAAAACAACCAGCGACTACTCTAATCTCATTCCTAGTGTTTGCACGCCGTTTCATCACTAGTGCATATCTGAAGGTTGATGGTCAGCTCTTCCGTCTCTGAGTCAGAAAGTTAAGGGTTCAAGTCTCGATCAAGTTAAAAGTTTAGGCTGCCACTCCTGTTTGAAGTACTGAGTGAGTGCTGCAGTGTCAGAGGTGCTGGCTTTTTTGATGAGAGCTGGTAGTCACATTGGACTCATAATCTCACTGGCCTCCAGGCTAACGCTGAGGAGACATTGGTTTAAATCTCACCATGGCATCTGGTGGAATTTAAATTCAGTTGATAAATCTGGAATTAGTCTCAGCGATGGTGACTATGAAACTGTCACTGATTGTTATAAAAAAGTTGCATCTGGTTGAGTGAAGCCCCTTAGGAAATTAGATCTCTCATCCTTACCAGGTCTGGTTTACACATGACCCCAGATTCATAGCAATGTGGTTGTTTCTTAACTGCCCCCTGAGCTGACCGAGCTGGTCGTTCGGTTCAAGGGCCTTGTAATGGACAATGAATTCCA